TCCTGGAAAACGGGTTAGTAATAAAACATATTTTACAAGTAAACTGAACTCGCTTGATTTAATCGTTTCAATGAACTGTTTCTATTGTTAATCCACTGTACAAACTATAAGTGTATTCTATATTTTAGTGTCGTCACATAATTGTAATATTTTTTTATAAAACCAATAATATTGTACCTGTATGGACTATACCTTCTTGTGTCCAAGTCTATAGATTTTCGTTATAATTTTGAATAATAAAGATAAATCAATTTCACGTTTCTTATTGTGCATCTTCAAATTATTCATATCTTGTTATTCTCAACTTAATAAATAATAAGCTAAGAAGCTAAAAATTATTATTAATATATTAACGTAATAATAATATTAAAATCTTATTCAGATTATTTATATGTAATTATTGCAGAAAAGCGACATTTTACAAAAAAAACGTCAGAGCTCAAATTGTATAAAGTTATTCTTTTTAATTTTAATTTTCAGTATTCACTATGTAATTAGTGTTTATACATAAATAATTTAAATTTTATACACGTATATTTTTACATATTTATTTCAAATTTTATAAAAGGTTACCTCGTGTCATATTTTTAAATACTATTACAATATATTTATGTATAAGTTATTTGATTTTACATATTATATATTCACGATCAGATCAGTTGTGACTTTATATAAACTATACCAATATAAATCAAGTTAAAACTAAAATTAGCTATGCGTAAATTTTATTTGTGTATTTTTATTTATATGAACAAATATACTACCCATATTATATATGCACAATATCTCTCTTTCGCGCGTGCACACACATACACACATACTATATTTTTATAAAAACTTGAGCGTATGAGCAGTTATATACATATAAAAAATGTTTCGAATAGTTTATATTATACAAAATAAAACTTCTACATCAGGTTTTACTGGTATTTAAATTCTATTGTTTCAAAAAAAAAAAAAAAAATTTGCACATAAGAGAACATTGCTGGTTACTATATGAGTCCAAACATAATATATGTACAAACAAAATGTACGATAGTTTTCAAAATATTACAATCGACTTACGGTTATCCAATGAGATGAACATAATATTCGATTACATAAATAATGGTTAATGGTTTAAGTGTCCTTTTAATGTTTCTACAACGAAAAAAAATTACATAAATAATGGTGAATTCTCAAAGGTGACTACGATGCTCGTGATACAAACTATTTTTCCTGTAAGGACTGTGAATATTTATCTCACTGTGAATTATTTATATTAAAAAAAATTAAAAATTTACATTGTACATTGCATGGAAATGTATTTTTGTTGTTTTTTTACAATCAAGGTATATTGATGGCGCCTTCCGAACAATCTTAGTATACCAGCGATAATTTTTCGTCCTGCGCGTGTACGCATTTATGTAGACATGCAAATAATAAATCTAATCTATCTTCATTGTATTTTTTTTTTTTTAAATTATTTTACACATTTTTATACTTTGCTTAAGGTCTCAGATTTTATAAAATGTTGGTATTTTTTTTTAATTTTCTGACCCGTTACTTTATTGATATTTTCTTTTAGTAGTGGTGGTAATTTTTACTTATTTAGAGTTTGAGCTTAAAAATGGTTTAGATCAGGGGTGGATCCAAAATTGGAGAACTGTTGGTCAGGCTATTTCAAGAGGTCACTTATAAAGGTTGAAACTGAATTATAAATGTACATTTTGTAATAAAAAAAACAATATGATCAGTAAGGCTCGGAAGTTGATAACCTTAAAAACATTAAAAAATGACATAAAAAAAGATGTAAATATGACATAAAAATGACAAAAAATGTCCTTAAAAAATGAACTAAATAATAACAAATATTTGTTTTAAATTAATAAAAATAAATTTTTTTTAAACATCTTATTCAATTTTACTATAAAATTTCATATAAATTTATCAAAACTTACAAATTACTCAAAATATGACATAAAAATGACAACAAATGTCCTTAAAATAAAATAAAAAAATGACAAACATTTGTTTTATAAATTTATCAAAGCTTACAAACCCTTACACTCAAAAATCAAAATCATTGTGTTGTATGATTAGATCGTATTTGATGTTATCATAAGTAAATAAATGACGATTATGTGTTTATAAATATTTATATTTGGAAAAATTTCTCTCCATGTCCATTGAAGTGATTGGGAGATGCAGACGAGCACTAACCGACGTTTTAATTTTTACCATTTTGAAAATATTACGAAAAAATAATAAAATTTAAATATAATAGGTATTATTCACTATAACATGACTATGAAGCGATGAGATAATATCGGATACTAATCGAACATTAGGACAAAATAATAAAATTTAGGTATAATACTATTCACTACAATACGACAACGACGAATGTAATCGACGAGATAAAATCGGACAAGTCTTAAGTTATTGGCATAATGGTCGATAAGAAACAAAAAAAATGAACTAGTGTGAAATCAGTAAAAATGACTAAAAATGTGGAAAAATTACTTATTAATTAATTAATTATTATTGAAAACATTAACATTTATTTTACTTCATAAAGTTTTTCATAGGGTCTGGCATAAAGATGTTTTACTGTACTATACAATTAAACCAGTGGCGTCTATTGTAAGGAAGGAGGAGGAAATACCAACCAGGGTATTTCCAGTTTAGTATTATTGTTCAACCTACATATAGTCAGCAAACTTAAAAAAATATAAGAAGTCTTCGTGAGGCCAATTTGTTCAACAAATATTAACCATGATATTTAGATGTACTGATAGAATATTGAGTTTTCTACAATTATTTAATATTTAATTTATTTTATCATATACATTATTGTTTAAACATCAATTACTACTTACAAATAAAATAATTAAATTAAAAAAATAGTTAATTTAAATATTTTTAAACGTCTAACTTTGATGATATACGAAAGTTTATCAGTAATGGTTACCACTCGAACGAGTGTAATAGAATACTCATCGACTGCTTGATATTAAAATGTTTTTAATGCGACGTTTAAATAAAAGTATAAGCTATATATATTATATATACTATATGTTTTACATTATTTATAGAATTTTTTTAAAAAATGTTATTCTTTGCATATCAATGCAATTTGAATAGTAAAAATATCAATAACGTATATATATATATATATATATATATATATATATTCGTATTTAAAGACTTCTAGCGAGTATTGCGTTTTAGGGTTTCTTTTTAATATTATTTCAAGTCTACGCCCCGTTATACAGTATACAGAGACCGTAAATTTTTTGGTAATATATTCGTAGATCGTATATATTGATTCCGATCATGGATTTCGAATTGTTTTTGAAAAAAAAGAAATGCATTAGTATTAGACGAATTGGACTTTAGTTGCTGAAAATCGTCCTGCTGATTAACACCCACTGAGGTCATATTTTCTTTATAATTTATCAAATATGCAATAAAATAATATTATATAGGTCAATGTTGTCGTACGCGATCTAGCGGCAGTGCGACCGTATCCCTGCCGCGCCCGCATATTGACGTAAATACATATACACAGAGATAAATGCTATTATTTATTATTCCGTAAACATAATCTTTTATTTTTTGTATTGATCGTATCCGAGTCGCCTATTTTTATAGCTACATTGTACACTGTTCGATTACAGTAGTAACTTCACGCACGTGTACGCAAATACTCATACAGTACACACTCATTCGCACACATACACACCAGTGTTTATATTTAGATAATATGAAGGTATATCATACAAATTCATATCGTACCGGTTCAAGTGGTGTACACGTAAACAACGTCTTTGCACGAATTTACAGTTGTGACGATTTGGAATTAATATATATTTAAACGGGAGTGATCTAGCCAAGGAAGGAATGAGGGAGCTATAGCCCCCTCCTTAAAGGTTCGTGTTTATGTGTATGTACTATTTGAGTATTTTAAAACTTTGGTACTAACTAAATGTTGACAAATACCGAGTATTTTCATCTTCGTATTATTCTAACGTGATTATCATTATCTTTTTGGTAGTTATTATGAAGGTTGTGGCGACTTTCGTCTAACATTATCATTTTACAATCACTATAGTTTTTATACCATGTAATGTCGCGGCGATGCTGATCGCCTTTAATGTATTATTATTATTAGTTATATTTGAATAAATAAGAAAACTATTTTAAAATGGGGGAAATACATTTATAAAATTAGTGGTGGTGGTGATGGGTGGTGAAGGTTGAATTCTCAAATCCTCTCTAACCTAACCTGCCCAAAAAATTAATTAGCCCTTCCCATTTAAAAATTCTTACTACGTTACTATTTGGCAAGGCTGGACAAGTTAATGATTTTTTTTTTACTCAGTTAAGTTAAAATGCATCAATAAGAAAAAGTTTAAAGTTAAAAGTTAATACACATTTATTTTAAACTTCTTACTAAGTTAAAAAATTTTTTTTATTTTTTTATACGTTCGGGTACTTTATTTCTTACTAACGCAAAACTAAATTATAGATTATAATGCTTATACTTCATACGACATACAGTATTTCTGTATATTATATTATATTAATTTTTCATTTCTAAAAGAAATCACAAAATATTGATACAAGCAGGGCCGGATTATGGTCATAATTTAAGGGGAGCTATTACTTTTATTGAGGCCATTTCAGCTAAAACAATTTCCTTTTTTTTCTTCTGATTTATTAATCTGTAATAAATATAAATTAAAATAAGTATAGCATTGTTTTTAAATAACATTTTATTCTTATATCATAATATACATTTTTCGGCATATGCAATAAAAAAAATATACACATATATTTTTAATCTTATATAATATTATGTTTGAAAAACTTTTTCCTGGATTTTTCCTGGGCAAATTGTCTTATAATATTTTCAAATGAAATATTCATAGCCAATTCACACTTTATTGAAAGAATAGATAGATATGTCAGTCTTGATTCACCCATCATACAACAATATTTATTTTTAATTATTGTTAGTGCAGAAAAGATCGTTCACTTTCACAGTTAGTAACTGGTATACTTAAAAAAATTCGGAACGCTACATAAATATGTGGAAAAACGCCCAAGAGATTATCTTCAACAATCATTAGTAACATGTTAACCGAGTTTTTTATTAATTTATTATCTTCCTTGACTTTAACCATACCAATGAATTGTTTCAATTCGTCGTATAGACTTTCTTCTAGATCACAAGAGTAAGCTTTGAATAAATTATTTACGGATTTTTTCAATGAATTGTCATCAATCACGTCCAAGCGAGTCGAAGATCCAAAGAGGTTTGTTATATTATCATAAGCTGAGCTACGTTTTTTTAATTCGGTTTGCAATTTATCAATGATAACTAAAAAAGCATTGACTCTAAATGTATCTCTACCTTTTAAACTCTCATGACATGTAGTACCATCCGAATATTTTTGAATAATTTTACGTTTGTTTTTTCCTCCATTAGACCATTCTTTATTAACTGAGAGACTCAATATCTTTGCTTCATCTTCAATTGCGTCAAAATCATTTCTGAGTTCATCAACAAATGTTATCAACGATTGTAGCATACTATTACCAGTAACCATATCAATTTCAATTCTTTGTAAATAAACACTTGTAGCATTGAATCTGCCTACAACACGTTTCTAAAAATAGTCATAAAAGCTATTTCTAATTTTATTAACTTTTTCTTAATTGAATTGGCATCATGATGAGTGTCAGCATTTTCATTCATATCTTTAGAAATGTCAGATAACGTATTATATATCTCATAATTACCAGCTAATACTTCAATAGCATCATTACGACAAGACCACTATGTACTGGAGAGACTTTTTAAAGTCTTACTACTTTTTTTACTGTTTCTTAATAATATATCCCATCTATGCGTAGAGGCTGCAAAACACGCATATAATTTTTGAAGAATTAAAAAAAAATTGATTGCTTCTAAACATTCTTTTGCACTGCAATCTCCAATTAAATTTAAATAATGTGTGACACATTATATTATTCGGCCACAGTTATAGTATTTGAATTGAAAATTGGGTTTTTTATTTAGATATTTATTAGCATTTTCAGAAAAAGCTGCTCCAGATGTTTCCTTAACTTTCTTGTTATTATCTGAGCGCTGAAGTTCAATATCCAATAATTTACTTTTAACAACATTTAAAGTTTGTTTATCAACACTCACAGTTTCCAATGCAATAACTATACTATCATATGACTGAGGTAAAGTTAACAACAACATACTGATTACAAATGATTTATGCATTTGTTGTCCGTATCCTTAAAGATCACTTATACGTTTTTCAAATAGTAAAAAATGTGACTCCAATGAATTTTTTTCATCATATTTCATTGTTAGTAATTTTCTTATTAAATGAAGACGACCAGCACCTTTTGTCTTTCACATATTCCAAATGACTATCAGCGATTCTCTGAATAATTAAAGACTTACATTTTAGTTGTTTCTTCTTGTCTTTTTCCGTCGTTGTTTCTTCCGTGATGCAAAACAAAAGTTCCTGTTCTTCAAGTAATACTTCCATTCGAAATTTCCAATTGGAAAAATTCTTACCATTGAATAACGGTACTTTGTATTTGTCCTCTTCCATTTATTTTTATATATATATAAAAAAAAAAAAAATTAACGACAACCGAAACAAAAACCGAACATGTGTTTTACAATAATTAACGTTCTTTCAATTTTAACGTCATTAGGGTGATTGGGCCCATAACCTATTGATTTATTAAAGATATTAATTCATTATAAAAAGAAAACATAATTATTTATTAATAAGAAAATTACACTTGCAAAATATCTAAAAACAGTTAGCGCTACTAGCCTACTATATACATAGTACTATATAGTATACAGTATAATAAAGTATAATAAAAATAACCTACAAAAACAATAAGGAATTGTGTTTAACTTCAACAAATACTGCTATGGGTTGAGTGAACTTCTCTGTTAAATTTTGCCACATGAACACAAGTCCATGGTTAGCTTTATGTTCATTGCCTTTTTTACGTGGTATCTCTTCACCAAAATCTTCAAGGCCCGTGGATGTTAGAGTCCTACTATTAACACTTAGGCTTTCTTTCAAACTAATTTCATCAAAAATTAGGATACGTTTTTTTTGAAAATTAGATTTGGATAAAAACTTTTTCTTTAAAAGTTTAAGCAAATTAAGATCAAACCTACATCCAATTTTTACGGCAAGTAAGAAGTTTCTTATTGAATTTATGGATGGAAATGGTAATATTTTATTATCTCTTAAAAAATTATAACCACTATGAGATCTGAAAAATTATATAACACACAGAATATGTTTTATCATACCTATTATATCTTTTATTACAACATATTATTACAACACATTATTATAACATTTGTAAATTTTCTTATTTCTATCAATTCTATCAATCTTTTTTTCTTATTGGGGGAAAAGTATACTCTTTTGTTTTGTCGATTTTTTTTATTTTTCATATTATAGCATAATTTTGTACACCATAAACATAATTGGTCTGCACTGTTACAACAAAATAATTTATTTTATTTTTTATTTTATAATATACTGCTGTTTACATATGTATAGTACTATTGATTTCATTACACAATCAATGCTATCACCTAATAATTATTATGTTCAATAAATTAGATACCTCTCATTGCTAAGTATAGTTGTACATTTTGCATACCTCCACTTTCCATGTGATTCTATAAACTGAGGCCCTAGTATAGATTTAACACTTGGATTTTCATCAGTACAACCAAATCTTTGGCAGATTTGATTTGATTGTAGAGTTTAATAATATTTTCTAAATCTTTAATGCTATTAGGTTTAAAGTTCTCTTCTATACCAATAGCTGATACTGCTACGGCTTTTCATTTTACATGAAGAAATATTACTAAATCTGAAAAATTATTTTTCTTACAAAATTTGGTTTTAAAATTTTTTTATTACTTTATACTGAAATAACTAAACATTATAACAAAACTAATTTTTAAAGAATTTAAAATTATTACCTTTGGTTAAAACAAGTTGTTTTTCTAGAGCTCTAACAAAATTGTAAGGTATTAAATTTGCTTAGTTTATGGAAACAAATATAAATATCATTGTTATGTTGGCCAACATCTATGAACCAACCAACTGGTACATGTATTAATGCAGGGGCGGATCTGGGGACAGATCCACCCCCATGGCTCTTTGAGATTTGTATATAATATTATCGATTATGGAATAGATAGATGGGCATACATATATATACATGGTATAGGAAAAATCGAGGACTAAAATTACGATAATAAAAGTTCCCGAGAGATTGCGATGTACGAACGAATAAATATTTTTTCTTGAAATTATATTTTATTATTTTTGTTATCATTATTTGTCCGTCGATTATAATCGATCGTGACGGTTTTCCGGCATTGCAGCCTATTTATACTTGCACATTGTGATAGCAATTACACGAGTTTCAGTAAACACAAATTATTTCCTGTGATATTTCTATGTAGATATATTGGTTGATTGACTTATCGAAATTACCACACAACGAAATATCCGTATACAAAAAAATATTCTATTCTAAATGCTATAATTTATAATAACAGCTACTCGAACACTGTTTAACAAGTATAAAAGTATTACAGACTATAGGTGTACGTAACTTAAATTTAATCTATTAATATATTAATAATAATCATATTTGTATGTAAATATTTAGTTATTTGATTAAGGATATAGCGTTTTAAAAAAAAAGAAAAGATTATATGTATTGAATATTTTATTGTATAATATACATTTGTATACATTTTTGGACAGGGGCGTATTTAGACTTTCTTCTAGGGGGGGGGACTCGAATTTTTTCTTTAATTCAAGCTCAAAATTTACAAGTCAAATTTTGGTAATATTTAAATCGGGTGAATTCTTAATATTTGTTTTTTTTTTAATCAAATGTCGGATCCACTTAGAATCGACTTTTTTTTAACAATTGCGATAACAATTACGAAAGCTAGTTGAACACTTATGCGAGTAGTGAGAGAAATCCCGCAGTCGTCACCACCGCATTATAGGTGGCAGCACGTGACAAACATAAAATAAAATCGAATCGCAAAAAACATACTTACAAAAAACTAAAAAAAAGGCCTCTAAAAGTTATTAATCGGTTAAAACACTTATTACTTTATTTGTAGAGAACAATATTTCAGAGTGAATCTTATGGGGATTTTTCATTATTCCAAATGAATAGTTCTCTATATTATATAGAAAAAAAGCATATATTTACTTTTTTTTAAATCATTGTTACCTACTTTTATTCTAATGAATATTTTTTAAAACGCGTATGAGGTTCACTCAAAAATGTTATTCTCTACAAATTGTATAATAGGTGTTTTCACCTTAAAATTATTTTAAAAGAAATTTTCGTTGGTTTTCCATAAACATGTTTTTACTAGATATAATAACCGTTGTAGTGTCCTCTTAAGACGTTATAATAAAAAAATTATATATTACAAAAATAAATATTTATATGCAATTCAAAGTAATTACTTCATCGTTATGTTGTTAGGGGTTGTGGGGGCATAGTTCCCCATGGGTCTGTTACCTAAAATTCTTGTCATTCACCCCCTAGAAAAAATTCCATTACGTCACTGTATTAAAGTACTGTTATTCAAAATAAATTAAAACAATTTTGAAGTCATATCATTTGTAGACGGTGACTAAATTTTTATAACAGTAGTTAATAAACATTGAATATTAAATACATAAATATTAAATTGTACCAGTGTTACAATGTTAGGAGTAAACGTTGAGTCATTAGTAGATGAACATTCAGTTGAACAAGACATTTCTGAACTGATGCTAATTGGTGAATATGACGGCATACAAATTTTTTTTGGTTCTCTTAAAAAGTAACTATGATCATGCTTAACAAGAGAATCAGAATTGTTACTTTTACTCAACAACAAACAGATGATTTGTATTTTATTATTATATTGAAATATAATAATACCAACAACAAACCTTTTTTTTTTTTGAATGTGTCACTTAAATAAGATTCTAATTCTAAAGAATTACTTAAAGGTCTTTTTGGCACAGCTCCTTTTAATTTAGGTATTTTCAAACAAATCTGTGGAAATAATTTTACTTTTAAAACCTACGGTGTATAATTATTAATTACATTTAAAAGGAAATAAATAAATCATACTGAATATTTACTGGGATCCTGGCCTGACACTCATTATGTTACAATGTTTTGAGGATCAAAATGAATTTCATAAACTCTAGAACTTTGCTTACATGGTATACCTAAAGATTTCTGCCAAGTCTTCAAAATATCAGCATCTTTTGGTACACCAAAAGTGCTATTTTTACTTTTTGGACATGAAAATATGCAATGAGACATAGGTATTAACCTATGAATAACTATACTGTGTTATTAAACAAGTGTTTAAATAAAGCAAAATAATTAAATAAAAATATGAGTAGAATTACGAATAAACATAAACCTTAAATAATTAAATACAATTTGATTATAGATAAATTTTTATTCTTTAATTGAAAAAAAAGGCGGCAATTTTTCGTCATCAATGATATCGTCTTTATCAATACTACTCGCTATGGCTTATGAGTGCTAGTTTTTAGTTGTAGCCTATAACAGTTGATTTAACGAGTCAAATCGGAGGTCACTTCCGCCTTGTATGTAACATAACTCGTTGGGTAACCTGTATATCTATAATCGTGGTATTTACTATTTTTTTTTTTCCGAAATGACGACGTCGCACGCGTTGATCGTCGATAACAATCAGGTCGAAAAATATAGCTGTAGAGAATGATAAATATATGAAATACATGTTTTATTTTAGTTTATAAATATGAAAAATGAAGGGGGGAGGGTCATTCCAACAATTTCAATCAAAAAATGATCTCAATAGTTGTCTAATTACGGCGAGGGTTTTGGATCGATATTTTTTGCAAATGGTATTAAACCTGGAAACGTCTAAAGTCACCGAAGCCACGCAAGTTCGAACAAGCACTGTCCGCCAGCAAAGTAATGGTGACCATCTTTTGGGACAGAAAGGGGTTGAATTTTCTGAGTTCTTGGCTGCCGGTACAACAATTAATACCGACCGCTATTGTTAAGACATTGCGGAAGCTTTACCGCGCAATCCAAAACATCAGGAGAGGTATCCTGACGAGGGAAGTGCGTTTTCACCAGGACAATGTTTGCCCACACACCACCCTACAACCACAACCAACCTGGACATCAATCAATTTGGATGGGATATTATCACACACCCACCCAACATAGCCCGGACATGGTACCTAGTGACTGGTAGACGATTTTTATACACAAGTTTGGCGACAGCCATAGTGAATCATGCCCCATGATTCATGTGGGGGAGGTGTTAATTGGATAGTGGGTAGACGACACATAGGTTGGTACCCATAGTCCACGTATATGTATAATGAAAGTATAAAACTATTCACGATAGAAACAACATGGTACGATCGAAACTTACAACTATTTAACATAATTACATGAAATTACATCAGTGCTCATTGCATCGATACAATCCATGATCCGTGATAGCAACACAGTTTAATGTACG